GCTTCCAAACGACAAGGTTTAGAACACGAAAGGTTTAATTATAAATCTTACTAAATGACACCTTTGACGCATATTTTTGGCAAGGCGGAGACTGGGCCGGCACACTTGGGCTGTGGAGGATGAGGAGGGTGCGATTGTGTCCCCGAAGCCGTGGTTTACCAGCGAGCTGCCTGGTGGCTCTCATGTCATTTGCTGCCAGCCAGAGCTGCTGTTTGGGTTTGGGGACTGCAGCGCCGGTAACCAGTGAGAGCCTCTCCCCGCAGCCTGAACGCGCTAAATACCAATTATGGCGAGCTGGTGGGGGAAAAGCCCTCTTTCTCACTGTGTGCCTAAATGGCGCGGCAATTAGAGGGAAATAAGAAAATTGTTGTTTTGCTGATTTAATGAACATTTTAAGCCCGTTTTAAAAATTCAAATATTTAAAACTATCTGCTGTTTATAAGCGTGGTTGGTGCTTTGGTTATTATCCACGGGGTCTTAATTAAAGCTTGATTAAAATTCCCCGCTTTTACAAAAGAGGAATGGGCAACTTCCTACCTTGATATTTCGTCTTCCTCTTTAGTTCACGTTTTAGCGTTGCGAGAGAGTGCCAGCCCAGGGAGGACGGGACCTGTGCGGAAGGGGAGCTACCTGCTGGGACACCCCCCCGCCCTTTCTTGCTTGCCCCACAGTCCGCACGGGAGCGCGGCTAACTTCAGAAAACATTTTGTTTTTCTTGTTGCAGAGCCAATAATAATGGAAGGATCCCCCGAATTTAAGATTCTGCAGGATAAATGGACTGCAATTTCTCTAGACAATAAAAGGTGCCTGATGTTATTTTTTAATCTTTCCTAAGCCGTGGAACTGACCACTGACAGCCAAAAAAAAAACCAAAAAAACGGGTGAGTTTTACGGGCGTGGTGGCCGCATTTACCCCCTAATAACTGACTATTAAATGTGCATTTCAGATCAGCACAGTTTGAACATACCATTGTGATTACCTCAGAGGGAGCAGAAATCCTCTCTAAAGTGGTGGAAGAAGAGTAAAGATGGAGCAAAGAGTGGAGGGACTCGCGGTGCTTCCGGCATTTCAAGTTTCACTCGGGACAGAGAGGAGATTTCTCTAATTTCTGTGGGGAATGGGTGCTGTGTAAATCGCTGACAGAAAAAGCAGCTTGAGGGGTCGGCTCTGGACATAGTTCTTTCTGTGTGTTACCTGGTGAGTATTTAATAAAAATCCCTTGGCTTGTTTGTGACCCTGGAAGCAACCATGCACAGCCTGCAAGTGCAAAGGGTTTGGGTTATTTGGGGTGAGGGGCAGAGAGCGGGTGCCCTGTCTTCCACATCCTATACAGGACAAACACCTATCGGATGACATGGTCTCAGTACGGCTGAGAGGACAGGGGAACAGATTATTTTCCCTTTATAGCTAAGCTATGGAGTCAATTTGTCTTCACTGCGATTAGCACAGTGCTGTTTCACATGCCGTAACTTCTACTAGGATGGAAAAAAAAGTTTCCCAAGGGTGGCAGGCAGAGGCAGCAGCCTTCCCAGCAGCAGCCCCCCCCGCCCTTCCTGCCTCTGCTAATTTCTCTTTGCACAGCACAAAAAGTGATTAAAAATGAGATGCGAAGCGTGCTTCTCTGGAGATCAATAATTGCCCTGCTTGAAGAATTAGCCGGTTTGGGGTAATCACTGCTCTGCGGTGCCCACGTTAGTTAAAGGAGAGGGACTCCGCAATTTAAGCGTTTAACGGAAACGGAGGATTTTGCGGTCTGGAGGATGAGCCCCGACTCCTGCCCGGAGTTTGGAGCTCATGGTCCTCATGAACTGCGGGTCCCGCTTAGCCCCGCGCTCGCTGCAGTCCTGTCCCGGGCCTGCCGGGGGTGGAGGATTTCATCTGCAATTAGCCGGTTGCTGACCGCCCCGTCGGACCGGACGGGTCTGGCCTTGGTACTTAGCGACTCCCGGAGCAGAACCCGGTCCTGCGAAACGCAGAGTAGTCTTGGAGATAAGTAAGTGACATCCAGAAGTACCCCAGACTCGCGGCAGCAGCGGTGCGGTTTTGGTACAAATAATTTGCCCTTAATTGTAGGCAGATGCGGCGCTGTGCCGAGGGCCGTCCGGTTGCACATGCGGGCGCCCGGGGCTGCTCAGCACCGGCTCCCTCAGTGGTTCAGGGCAGAAATAAGCCGCTTTCTTACAGCTTTACTCTGCTGTTTGTTTTCACTCGAGTCCAGGGAGCTGTCAGCTCTAATAGTTTCTAACAGCATCTTTTCAAAAAGCAGGACACCCCCCACCCCCCAGAACACGGCGAACACCGCGGGGCAGCCGCTCAGCTCCGTCCTCCCCGAGAGGAGTTCGGAAAGCCTTAAAACCTGTAAAAACAAACGATGCAGCCAACAAGTTTACAAATACACGAGGTTAAACAGCGCGCTGCGGCCGCGGGAGGCGAGGGACACCCCCCACTGCTTGGGGGCGGGGGGGTGGTATATTTTGTTGCCGAGCACCCCCCCGCCCGGCCGCGCTGCCCCCTCCGAGGGCGCTGGGGGTTCCCGCGCCTCCCGGGGGCTCACCAGGGGCGGCTCTCGGGGGGTCTGGCCC